TATTTATATTTAATTTAGGCATTGGTCTTTCTCTTTTAATAATGTTTTCTTTTTCATTATATGGTCTCGAGCCAAAACTTTTTGAAATAAATTTTCAATATCACAATTACATTCTAAATCGCTAGCCATAATATAAGGGCTAAAATTAAAAATAAAATTATAAAAACTTACTTGTTAAAATAAAATGTGTGATGGGTATACAATTATACATACCTGGTACAAAATATTGAATTGTATGAATATACTTTTAAAGAAACTTATAAATATAGTTTTGTGAAGAAACGTACATAAAAATAACGTAAAATAGTCTTTACTTTTTAAATATTAAAACAATCCACCTAGTTAAAATTGCTCCCTACCCACCTAGTTAAAATTGCTCGTGGATGGAATCAGAGAGGGTCTTGGTAGGTGTGCGGTGCGTGCATGCTTGCCAAATCCCAAGGGTGCCGATACCGGTTAATGTGAAATGCCTTTTTTGTCTCACACTAGTACAGTATATCTCAAAGGACGCGACAGGGTTGTTGTAAATTTTAAACGTTTCTCACCATAGCTGTAAAAATCTAAATATGTTAAACTTAAAAGTCATTTGTTTTCTAACTAATTCGTTTTAGGACCAGGTGTTGTCCACGGAAATTTCCAAAATTTACAACTTTTAGTCACTTTCATTGAACTGGAAAAATTTCTGTCTTTATTACATCTGATATTACGAAGAAATCAGTCCACACTGTACTCGGTTAAGCTTTTGTTTAAGTAAAATTCCGGCTCTTTCAGCAGGGTTTTATTTGTGTCCCCACTTCCCTAATCGCTTAATTATTTAACTACTTCTTAAGTAGAAATAAGTCAAAACCAGTTACTTTGTACTCGAATATTTCTAGTCTTGGAGAAAAAGTGGAGAGACAAATTTTTCCGACAACGGATACGTAAATCGTAAAAGTAAGGAAAATAAATTCTAGATCTTTTTCTGTACCTCGTGCATCTCTCTCATTCATTAAATTTAGTTGTAAATGACGCTGTCAAAGTAAGTTAACTTTTTAACATTACACAAGGATTGTACACGTTTTTTCCTACATCCCCTTAAAGATGGGATATACGAAATCGTAATTTCACATTGAAATCCGTTTATAATATAAAATCGGAGATCGGAATAAAAATATCAAATATTTTAATGGATTTTTTTAACTTCCATCAACTATACAAAACTATCGTAAAAACATACCAGTAAATTCTTATCGGTTAGGTTAAGTTATAAATCTATTTGTTATTCGCGTAATCGGGGAGGGCGACCAAATATCTAGCGGGCGGGCGGCTAACGGCCCAGAACCGGTCCCGGATAGAATTGGATGCGTTATATGTGTTGCATCCATCCAAGGTCGTAGGCTTCCACCGGCTAAACCGGGTGAGGTTGGTGCTCTGTAAAACGCGTGCGCGAATCTGGCTTTTTGGATTCTGACAATACAGCAATTCCACTCTGCCACTAATATTCGAATATACAATAGCAATCTTATCTTTTTTTTTCACGTGTAGTATAGAAATTTGTAATGAGATACATAATGCGGTTATAATAAAATATTGTGTGATTATTTTCGTATAATTAAAATTAACGTGTATTTATTTTTTAGAAAATACAAGGAAAGCGGCGCATCCACTGCTTCTAATGACGGCACGCCACTACAATGATGATGCTTGAGGACAGTGGGAAGATATGGGAAGAAGTGACCCGTTTTGGTGATGTAATATATGGAAGGTCCTCTAAGGTAGATGGGTATTGCAAAACATTAACTCTAGAATCTATCCTTAAAATATTGACACGGAGTTTCGATACATCGTATATAATGAGATTCGGATATTTCAAATTACAGTACTGTATTATGTTTTTTATAATTTCAGAACATTCACTAAAATGGAATTTAAACTTATAATATTTATCTTATAAAACTAAAACTAACATTTGCTTAAAAATATATATATATATATCAAGAAAAAATACCTCCAGAGATAATCTATTAACATTGATAATTATATTTGATGAAATCTTAAACTTATCTATTTATTTTATTTTGAAAATCAATATGAGATGATGATAATCTAAACGTTTTGTAGAGATGAATTGCAATTAGATTTAAACTCACCCAAATAGAAGGACGGCACCTCCGACTAGAAATAATCCTGACAATAACATGAAATTTGGCGAGATATGGCCCATCTGCAAAGAAAACAAAATGTATATATGTCTTATATAATNTCACCCAGACGGTGAGTCGATTCCCAGACTGTTTGGATGTTAACACTATTCCGTGCTAACATCCTCATTTCAATCGGTCCAAATCGTATGTGCGACGAAAATATGAAATAAAATGGTTCAAATTTTTACAAGATATTATTATTATTTATTGTGAGATTCTTCCGCCCCCTAAAAAGTGCCACCCAGGGCGGGTCACCCCTGCCACCCCCACTACACTACGCCTCTGTGATTGCCCCAAATCACTTGTAGCCTCAGATCCCAAAACCATAATCTGCTACTGAAAGTGAAGGAGGGATGAAAAAAGTGATTAGGATATGGTAATTTTATTGTATCATTATAGGTATAATGTTTGTTTTGGTGATGTAAGAGTACTTTTTTAGGGGAAATGTACTAAATGTATTTGTGGGAGATTGGAATGTGTTAAATATTTTTGTTAGTAGAGTAGGATAGCTAGAGGTGGGATATTAACTAACTGTTTTAGATAATAACAGTATCTAAATGTATGTGAATGGATTTAGATGATGGTTTACCTTTTGTATCTCTTGATAATGGCCCTGGGTACCTGAAATTACTAGATAAACTGACTGTTACTCAATGTAAATGAGCTCCAATAAAGTAGATTTTTGCTGTTATTTTAAGAAAATGGAATTGTGTTCATTATTAAAATTTTGTTAAATATCTACCAGGCATATCTGAATTTTGTGTGACAAATTGTAACAGATGTGGAAAAGATTTAATAATGAAAAACAATAATTATATTAATGGATAATATGTAAATTATCTCAATAATAATTTATTATTTAAGAGCTTTATTACAAACTATATTTACAGCCATATCTCATTGATTACTGGATGATTGTCCTATTGCAAAGGAGAAATCTGGAATCGAGTCTACGTTAGAAATCTTTACAAAAAAATCCAGATAATCTGTCTGGATATGTCATAGCCTCTGTTCATCATAATTTCACTACCCCAATTATGGGCTGACCAAACCCATCATAAGAATGTTAAAAGGCCTCTTAGTATCCACAACATGAAAAGAATTAAATGAGAAATTACTGAAGAACTATTGATTCTGATTATTTTGTCATTAATTGGATTATATACTACATCATTTAAAACATTTGTAATCATAAATTGAGATTTATAGTACTGTACTATAATAAATAATGAATTTTTTCAATCTTTCGGATATTCCAAGGAGAAAAATAAAAAATTAAACTATATAATGAAATTTAAATAAATCACACAGAATGGGCTAATATATCCAGGACAAATTGCTGGATTCAATTCCAAATTTCCAAGAAAAGTAAGCTGATGCCTTAACTCCAGCAAATATACTTTAAATTAATTAATAAATGCTGCCATGCAGATTTAGTGAAAATTAAATTCTCAAAACCTGTGGCATGCAAGGTGCTCTAACAAAATGAGTCATTTTTCTTGGTTACATATCACTTGATCACAAAATTTAAGATATTTGAAATGGAAGTAGGTTTACTTCTGATCATTTATATTATTAATACTTCATAATAAATTTTAATAACAATAATAATATACTTACGTTATATAATGCTCCACCTAAAGTTGGTGCAACAATAACCCCTATTCCAAGAGCTGCTTCTAAAGTAGCCTGCAAAGTCAAATTACAGGTTATACATGTTTAAACAAAGTAAAACAGTTAAATTTTTATGGAATTCAACAAACTATCCATAAAATAATTGTAAACATTGTGTGATTATCATACATTTGTTCTAAGAGTAGTTTTAAATCTAAAAAGCTGAGGAGGTAAAGTAAAATGGATGTTAAAATACAACACATAAGTGAGATGGCAGGATGATCGAGCGGTCAATGTGGCAGCCTACTGCTCTGAGGGACCTGGGATCGAATCCGGACAGATCAAAGAAACCCCAGGAATTTTTCGGGGGTGGTCCGTTCGGATTTGTCGGGCCCTGTCCCTCACCACCCGGTCGCCCCATTGTAGGTCTGGCCGAACCCATAATGGGCCTGCTGTAAGAGGCCCTCTTAGTGCCCACAGGGCGGAAAGAGTAAAAAAAAAAAAAAAAACATAAGTGAATAAAATTAGAATAGAATGCAAAGTACTGAATATAAACTACTCATTTCGGTAAGAGCGTTCAATAAAACTAAATTAGGGGCTGGATGGTCGTGAGGTTAAGGTGTCACTGTCGGTGACCGTTCTGGGAATCCGGGATTAAAAAACCCCAGAAAATTTTCGGGACAGTAGTCCGCCTTGGATATATTGGCCCACCCCTCATCACCTTATGTGGGCTGGCCCAATGGCCTACCATGACTTGCTAAAAAGGGCCCTCAGTACCTCACGGCAGAGAGTTGAAAAATAAAAGTTACTTCTTTTATTTGCAAAAATAATTTTAAAAATAATAATTATTATTATTATAAAAAAACTGTTATACGAAATATTTTTTTAAACTTTTTTACTGAGTTCGCCGAAGAATTTTATATTATTTAAAGTGAGTGAAAGTTTCTCTCGTACTAAACTATACATATTTGTTTTTTAAGTATACTCGATTATATTAAGTTATCATAAGTGAACATTTAAATCTTTTGTATATAGAAATTTTTAAAATATCTTCCCCGTAAAATTGCTATTATGAAATAAGGTGAACTACGTTTGTTTTTCTTATATGATTTTAATTATTACATGTTTAACAAAATTTAAAAATAGTGCGTAACTTCGCTTTTAAAATGTTTCAGGAATTCTGTTTTTTAACTTCATTGATATCCTTAAATATGAAATTGTTAGAAATCCTAATTAAGTTTAATTGTCTATTTGTATACGGCAGGGATGTCTAACCCGCGGCCCTTGGGCCACACTGTGGCCCTCTGAATATTTTTATGTGGACCACTGCACCCTAAATTTTTTAGGTATATTTTCATTTATTTTGGTAAAGTATGTTGTAAATAATTATTTTCGTCATGAAAAACATCAAAACTGCTGAAAGAAATAGGTGGAGTGATTCCCATTTAACTACATTCTTAGAATTAAGACTAGTACCATAAAAGCAGATATTGACAATATTATAAAAGAAAGGCAATGCTAAAAAAATCGCATTGAATTTATTTTTATTTTGTGTGAATATAATTTCTTTTTTTACTGTCAATAATACAGTATTTTTTGTAATTATATATATTTGTTATTAAAATTTGATATTCACATTTTGAACTTTTTAAAAGCATGTGTTTATATAAAGTACAGGATGGGGCAGAAAGGACGGACGTTTTTGAAATGGCGAGAACACCATCAGGTAGAGTGACAGATGTGTTGACAGGAGGCGTGAAGGTAGTAAGGTCTTAGCATTGTCTTTTCAGTTGAAGGCATGTAGCCGTGGACGATAGAACACAGTGTGTTTGCGTACGACTGAGGAAACAGTCATACGCAAAGGGGATAGCTCAGTCGTAAACGTCTGATGGGAATACGTTTCTGCGTTCTTGCATACGACGGAAACGTATTCCCATCAGACGTGTGTTGTTTCAACAGGATGAGACAACGGACCACATAGCTAGAGCATAAATTGACGTTATTCGTCGTCTCTTCCCTGATCGCCTCATTTCCAGGTTCGGTGACATTAGCGAGGTTGCAGCCGAAGTTTTCAATGCGAAAACATGAACGGCGGACGTTCAGCGCCGCCTTCCTGTAGCCTAGTATAGTAGTTTGATAATTGCGTTTGGACCGTCAGTGGAATCATGCTCGACGTTCCAAATGCCATTGTCAAACTATTAGGATTACAAGATGGCAACTCTCGACGTTTAACGTTCACGTTTTAGAGATGAAAACTTCGGCCGCAACCTCCTATTCATTACCTTGTTCCCCTGACCTATCCACACTTTTCCACACTTGATTTTGTAAAATGTTATTTCAATACGAACTCACATACTCCAACGAATATCTTTTATAGTAACAATTACAGATGTGACTTTTTTTTTAAAAAAAGGTCATCCTTTCTGCCCCACCCTATACCCTTGTGGCCCGCTGAGCTGAATATACCTAAATTTCTAATTTGGCTCATTAGGAAAAAAGGTTTGACAATCCTAGTATACGGCAACTCGACACGTGAACCGATGGGAAATGCCTCCCGGTAGGACTTTTTATGGGAAAATGCTTCTAGACGTTACAAAAGTGAAGAAAACCCGAGAAAATCCATCTGGTCAGCCCGTTCACGAGGCGCGAACACACGACCAACTAGCAGTGTTTAGGAGTTTCATCACTTGGCCATTTGTGGGCATTATATTTCGGATAGTAATAATAAAATTTTAACTATGTAATAATTTAAAAAATTATTATTGTATTGTAAGTAATAAATGTACATGTTTTAATAAATATCTTCAGAAATAAAAAAGTTTAAATATTAATCTCTTATTTTTAACCATTGAGATTTAAAACATGTTACACAATTTAACAGGAAAATAGGCTTATTTTCCTGTTAATAATCACTGATCATAGTGTACTTTTTGAGCCTCGGGAATAAATTTTAAAAAATTCCAAAATATCAATAAAAATTTTATTTTAGATTTATTATAACACTAAAAGCTCTTAAAAGAACACAATAAAAATTATTTTAAGTAAAATATTTATACCCTGTATATAAATGATTTTTATTTTTAAATTATAGTGAAGTTAATTTGATAACAAGGTTAATTGTTCACTCTGAATACAATTCAGATAGGCAGAGTTAAAAAATGAAACTATCAAAAGACAAGTTATACTGTTTATCAAAAGTAGTTGTGTAAGAATTACTAATCGTGCAAACAAGTGATTTGTACGATTAGCCACGTATAAACGTCACACATGCTTAGAAGTAGAAATGAATCATCACGGCAATCGGCTGCAGTTGTCAAGTGATTTAACGTCATTGCCTGCTTTTCTCTCTAAAGAAGTACGTACTGTAATTGCATTATATAGAGTTGACATAAAAATTGCCCGGCAAAGTTAGTAGGATTTTTTTTCTGGGTTTAAATCATCATAATACGATGATTAACAATCTTAATGGGTACCCGACAGCTGGGCGACTTCAACTCTGCGATTTACAATGGCCAATAGTCAAGTATGCGACCGTTAATTATAAGCAAGATTTATTAAATTTATGTTTCGTTTTTCAAAGAAATATATGAATTTACCGAGTAGAAAAGAATAGGGATTTTAAGAAAGAAAACGATAAAAAAATTTATTTTGTCTATTATTGTATTGCTGATTTCGGGAAAAATTGCGCCATGGAGCATTTTTCTAAAGACTCCTTTGATGACTGGACAAAAGAAAAACTGTTTCAAGTACTCTATAATATAGACTGCGCGATGAAGAATTGTCAAATAATTAGCATCTGATTTCAAATTTATTTTTTCAATAGATAATTTGTGAGCCATCCACAAATTATCGAGCAGCCATAATATAGTATGGTGCCAACGTAAAATAAATAGGCCTAATTTTAAAATAAATAAAAGTTAGCTTAGACTTACCATTGTTTTTGCTACACTGTCTCTGAATTCTCTAGCTATAATTGAGAAACTGGACACTTGATAAGCAGCTGATCCAGTTCCTTCTACAATGCGTAGAACGTATGCCAGAACTAAGAACGGTAAGCCATGAGGCGAATCTTGCAAAAAGCTAAAAAGTTTTTTATACATTAAATTAAAAATTACTTTTTTTAAGTGAATCATTTTTACAATAAATTATTTTGATTATTTATATCAATCTAATGAGAATACAGTTTAACGCTGGGCGAGATCAATTTTTAAAATTACGAAAGAGCAATTAATTATATTCTAATAATTTTAAAACTTTATAATTAAGAATAATTTAGAGAAAAACTAAAGGCAAGAGTTAAGTAATAATAAAATGCACTAAATAGTAATAATAATTGCACAAAATGTTGTATTATTTCCGATTTCAACATGGAAATTGAGGATGTCATAATTATATTTATTTCTGAAATATTGATAAATATGTAGTTAAATTTTATTAAAATTTTTTCAAACTTTTGGTTACATTTATATCTCAATTCTTTGATTTTAGCAGACTTAATCTGTAACAGTTTTAAACAGAAAACTTAAATAATGGTATAGGGAAGAGCTGGAACCTAAAATCTTTTGTGGTTTTTTGTGGACTGATAAAATATGAAATTGATATAATATAAAAATATCTTTATCATGGCATCTGTTTTCTTCACTTTTAAAATAAACAAATTTAAGAAAAGTAGGGTTGAGTAAAATATGATTTCTGTTCTTTTTAAACCGCAATTTAAATTTGATTGAATGGAATTCAGTTTGTTTAAATGATATCTATTTTATTAAATAATTTATCTTTACTAACATTAATGAGTGCATTTCGAAACGAACCTGAACTTAGTTTACGTTATGGAATAATTTGAATCATTACTCGGAATTGTAAAGTTCTTTTCATCTGTTCATATAGACAGATGAAGGTATGAATGTTAGTGTGCATGGGGAAGCACGCTTTGAAAGCTTACTAAGTCTTGTGTCTTTTGTCGAAAAATTGTGAAATTTTGCAGGCAGGTTTATTTTAGGGGATTGATGCTATTGAATTTTGATGGTTAAAGATCGAGGAGTGGGGATGTAGAAGGAGTCATGTATAGTATCATATCTCAAGTAAGTTCAAACTTAATGAAGATTTTACTCGTTATTATCATTCACAACTTTTTAAAATAAAGCTCATCTATATCCTCAAAATTAAGTTTTTTGCTATTTTAATTATATAAAAAGTTTTTTAAAATAAAATCTCGTAACAGATGGTGCCACATGCAATTTTAAATGTTTTTGGCGGAAAAGTTATGTAACTAGTTGCTGGATTTTTATAAGGAGTAAATGTCAGCATCAGTTCGCGTCTGTATAGACATTTTTGAATACAAGAACTGCTAAAAATGTCCGCGTAGGACATTTTTATCACTTCTGGTAAATTATTATGTTTAATTTTGTAAAAATGAAATGATATTTAAAGTAAATTTCATTGAAGATTTTTGTTGTCCAACTCTTTTTCGTTTTTTTTTACTGTAAGGGGTTTCCATACATTACATCATCATTATGCTGATTATGATGATGTAATATTAGGGGAAGGAAGGTTTTATCAATACAATGATGCAGTGACGTGCCGTGACATTTGATGATAGGGAAGCTGTGTTTCTGTAAGAAGTCGACTTCCAGGGGCAATCAGTCAGTGATGGTCTAGGGTCCATTCGTGTTCGATAAACCAGTAAAAACCGTAGACTTCTCTAAATGTATTTTTAATTAATAGATTATCTAACGCACTTAATAAATAAGCAAGTTCAATATAATTAACTCTGTTATATTAGATTTAATAGATTCTCTACGCCCTCTAAATGCCAATTCTCGCTTCGATAACATCTACTAATTAAAATATAATATATCTATTAGCCGTAACTATCTCGTTATAATTTTCAATATTTATTTTATATTGTGTACTAATGTTAAATTCTATTCTATTTTGATTTCCAAATTGCTTCAATTTTACGAAAGAATCGATGCGAGATTTAGGATTTTCGTGTCTTTTGCCAGCTTTACTCAAATTATTTAAATCGTCAAAGCCAATCTCATTCCACACACTAATTTTATTTGAAAATAGTAGGCAAGGCCAACAAAACAAATTTTGCATTTTTATGCATCCACAAAGCCATTTTATATCTTCATAAATTTTATCATGAAAATGTCGAACAAATTTTTTCTTTTTCATTATATGGTCTCGAGCCAAAACTTTTTGAAATAAATTTTCGATATCACAATTACATTCTAAATTGCTAGCTATAATATAAGGGCTAAAATTAAAAATAAAATTATAAAAACTTACTTGTTAAAATAAAATGTGTGATGATATACAATTATACATACCTGGTACAAAATATTCAATTGTATGAATATACTTTTAAAGAAAATTATAAATATAGTTTTGTGAAGAAACGTACATAAAAATAACATAAAATAGTCTTTACTTTTTAAATATTAAAACAATCCACCTAGTTAAAATTGCTCCCTACCAGTGGCTCGTGGATGGAATCAGAGACGGTCTTGGTAGGTGTGCGGTGCGGTGCATGCTTGCCAAATCCCGAGGGTGCCGATACCGGTTAATGTCTCTTTTGTCTCATCACTAGTATATCTCAAAGGACGCGACAGGGTTGTTGTAAATTTTAAACGTTTCTCATCATAGCTGTAAAAATCTAAATTTGTTAAACTTAAAAGTCATTTGTTTTCTAACTACTGTAATTCGTTTTAAGACCAGGTGTCCACGAAAATTTCCAAAATTTACAACTTTTACTCACTTTCATTGAACTGGAAAAATTTCTGTCTTTATTACATCTAATATTACGAAGAAATCAGTCCCACTGTACTCGGCTAGATATTGGTCCGGTTAGGCTTTTGTTTAAGTAAAATTCCGGCTCTTTCATCAGGGTTTTGTTTACGTCCCCAATTCCCTAATCGCTTAATTATTTAACTACTTCTTAAGTAGAAATAAGTCGAAACCAGTTACTTTGTACTCGAATATTTTTAGTCTTGGGGAAAAAGTGGAGAGACAAATTTTTCCGACAACGGATACGTAAATCGTAAAAGTAAGGAAAATGAATTCTAGATCTTTTTCTGTACCTCGTGCATCTCTCTCATTCATTAAATTTAGTTGTAAATGACGCTGTCAAAGTAAGTTAACTTTTTAACATTACACAAGGATTGTACACGTTTTTTCCTACATCCCCTTAAAGATGGGATATACGAAATCGTAATTTCACATTGAAATCCGTTTATAATATAAAATCGGAGATCGGAATAAAAATATCAAATATTTTAATGGATTTTTTTAACTTCCATCAACTATACAAAACTATCGTAAAAACATACCAGTAAATTCTTATCGGTTAGGTTAAGTTATAAATCTATTTGTTATTCGCGTAATCGGGGAGGGCGACCAAATATCTAGCGGGCGGGCGGCTAACGGCCCAGAACCGGTCCCGGATAGAATTGGATGCGTTATATGTGTTGCATCCATCCAAGGTCGTAGGCTTCCACCGGCTAAACCGGGTGAGGTTGGTGCTCTGTAAAACGCGTGCGCGAATCTGGCTTTTTGGATTCTGACAATACAGCAATTCCACTCTGCCACTAATATTCGAATATACAATAGCAATCTTATCTTTTTTTTTCACGTGTAGTATAGAAATTTGTAATGAGATACATAATGCGGTTATAATAAAATATTGTGTGATTATTTTCGTATAATTAAAATTAACATGTATTTATTTTTTAGAAAATACAAGGAAAGCGGCGCATCCACTGCTTCTAATGACGGCACGCCACTACAATGATGATGCTTGAGGACAGTGGGAAGATATGGGAAGAAGTGACCCGTTTTGGTGATGTAATATATGGAAGGTCCTCTAAGGTAGATGGGTATTGCAAAACATTAACTCTAGAATCTATCCTTAAAATATTGACACGGAGTTTCGATACATCGTATATAATGAGATTCGGATATTTCAAATTACAGTACTGTATTATGTTTTTTATAATTTCAGAACATTCACTAAAATGGAATTTAAACTTATAATATTTATCTTATAAAACTAAAACTAACATTTGCTTAAAAATATATATATATATATCAAGAAAAAATACCTCCAGAGATAATCTATTAACATTGATAATTATATTTGATGAAATCTTAAACTTATCTATTTATTTTATTTTGAAAATCAATATGAGATGATGATAATCTAAACGTTTTGTAGAGATGAATTGCAATTAGATTTAAACTCACCCAAATAGAAGGACGGCACCTCCGACTAGAAATAATCCTGACAATAACATGAAATTTGGCGAGATATGGCCCATCTGCAAAGAAAACAAAATGTATATATGTCTTATATAATATATATATATTATACAGTAATAAAAGTTTAGAACGAAGAAGAAAAAATGTTTTTTTTTTTCCTTTTATTTCATTATCTTGTTTATACACAAGTAATTTCATTGTTTTTTGTAATAAGTTATCATTGTCATAAGATATAAAACATTGTAATCTTTGATACATTGATTAAGAATTTATTGTATACAAATTTTTAATCAATTACATACAGTATATATTCGAAATTCGATTTAGCGTCACCATTTGCTTGCATTTATTAGTATTGAGACTAAATCGATTGTGGCACTAAACTGAAGCACTGAAAACACAATATGAATCACATATAGTAAGTTCATACAAATTCGGTTTTGGGAATTTTGAAGTCATGTGTATTGATTGATTGATTATCTTAGAGTTTCCATCTTACCAACACTTAAATACTCTATCACCGATGTTTTCAGTATATGTTCTATATTTCAATATTCATTGAAAAACAGTTATATAAGTCCTCTTTTTTCGGGCGTCTTTCAAGTTTTGTTCAGATGCCTGGAACAACTTTTTAAAAATTATAATATATATATAATGTTTTTTGATTTTCATATTCAGGTTTTAATCTGCGTTATTTTAACGTCTTGCGACAGCTTTAATCATAAGGTGGCATATGACGAAGCGACTGAAATGGGCAACAATATACATATTTCCTTAAAAATTAGCGCACGAAGGAGCTGTCGTATCACTGTGAAATTTGGCATGCAGAGAAGTCTCAAACACATATGGAAATGATTAGAATTATAGCGTGATGACTCATTGCATAATGCCAACAAAAGGCGTTAAAGTGCATTCCTCTTGGTCTATAAAAACAGAGCGCAAAGACATCCTGTTTGTAGTTTATTTGTTGCAGAGGGACACTATATAACTAGAAATGCCTTTACGTCGCACTCGAAGACTATATGAACAACAAACTGAGTCTGAGAGGGAAAGGATCATCTGGTTGAGAAAAGCTGGATGATCATCTCGCCGAATAGCTCCACCTAGGCCGTTCTGACAACACTGTGAAGAGGTGTTGAGACCAGTGGACGAGAGAGAGCTCACACACACGGCGCCCTAGCTCAGGACGCCCTCAGCAGAATATTAGCGGAGAAATTTTCTGGTCCTCTGAGAAACACGCACACAACCGATTGTATCGTTGTACGCCATCCGGACACAGGAGGCGACATTATTACAGATCCATGTGTCTGTCCGTACCATTTTGAGGCGCCTGGATGAGGAACATTTGACATCGCGGCGGCCATTATGTGTGCTGCCATTGACATCCACCTACCGTTGCTGCCTCCGTTTAGAGTGATACTACTCCAAACTTTCCAATGGGATTACACCGCAACAGAATGGAACCGGGTAGTCTTCAGCGACGAATCCAAATTCTGTTTGGGCACTGACGACGGCCGTGTTCATGTCTGTAGGGCCCATTGATAAACGTCTCAATCCTGCCTATGCTTAGCGGCACATCGTCTCCACAGCTGGTGTGATGGTCTGGGGTGCCATCACATATGACTGCTGCTCACTTCTAGTAGTGGGCATGCAATTCAAGAGACCATGACAACTCAGTGGTATGTTAGTGATATCCTAGGTGAACTCCTAGGCTGTTTTGTACCTGAGATCTTTGATCTCAGGTACAAAACAGTTATAAAACCAATTTTTAAACATTTCGCATGTAATCCTTGCTTTTTTATTAGCTTTCCAGCAAACAGGAAGCGTTGCTTTGTGTACCGTTTTCATTACACGTGGATTTAATGTACGATTAATTAACATTGGCTTAGTTATATATTCTCCAGCTGCATTATAACACAAAAGTAAAGTTATCCTGTCTTTTAATGCCTTGGAACCAGAAGCGGAAGTCTCATCTTTCGCAATATATGTTCTGTCGGGCGTTTTTTTCCAATACAAAGCAAATTCATCTACGTTATCGACTTGTTCTGCTATACAATTGCTTTCCTCTATAATTTTGGAAAAATGTTCGTGAAATCTTTGAACGTTTGCGATAACAGTTAAAATTTAGAGACATGTTTTAGAATTTGCATAATTGGTCTGGTAATGTATGTCCCTTATAACACGATTTCCTACAACGAGGAATGCAACCCCGCGTTATACGGGAGTCTACTGTAGTTAACTACATAAAATATATTTTTAAAATGGAGATCATACTATTTTATGCTAACTACTTGAGAACATAAATATTTAAATAAACTTACTAGTTTTCCATAAATTGGAGCTAGTATGAAAAATGTCAATTGATATACACCAAATACAAAACCATATTCAGTTGGTGACGCTCCTTTTTTTTCTGCCTAAATTATACGAGAACAAAATAATTTGGTATTATAATAATATGCGATATATTAATATAATTTATATTTAATAAATTATAACTATGAAGGAATCCACGTATTAATGTTAATATGTACTCATAAACACTTAGCATAGTCTTAAAGATATTTTTGCTTTAAGTAAAGCTAAAATAAACAATTTATAAATAAATTAATATAATGCGTAGAAAAACAATGAAATATTTTAAAATTTCATTGTTTTTTACACATTATATTATTTATTTATCAAAAAATTATTCTATAAAAGTTTTAACTGTATCCAAACAAAACGAATATTAATTAAACCTCATTAACTCGATTAATTTTCTAAATAAAGTAATTAAATTTTAAATAAATTATTTTCATTGGTTCGTAGTAAATATTTTTAAACAAAAATTATTTCTAATATACAATGAATAAATAAGTATTGAATATATTTATTTAATGTTTACATAATATATTTATATGACCTTCTGTAACACAAGATTAAATAAATGTAAGCAATATATAATTTTCTAAGAGTTTTACTCTTTTATATAGAACAATAACCAAATATCACATATTTATATAAAACTCACCTCTCTAGGAAAGAATGGGGATTGTATTGAGAATGTACAGCCAATGGCAAAATTACCTAAACCTAAAATTATTAACAACAATGTCTTCTTTCGTTTTTCATTCATTATCTACAATATAAAAATAAAAAAATAAATATTATAAATATATATATATATAATACAAATACAGAATTATTTTAATTATTTCATTTTTTTTCTATTTTTGTACAAAACTAAATTAGATTAAACCATAAACAACATTACAGTTTATATTGATATTCAATTGTCTAGTAACAACAATTTATTAATAGCTAATATAAATTAATATAACAAAATGCTATTAATTACAGTATATTTCTATAGTACACTCATTTACTGAAAATTTATCTGATTACCGCGAAACTCGTTAGTAGTGATGCAATAAAAACATTGACTGTACAACAATACGTTCAGGAAATCCTCATGTGTTGCCTTTCATGCAGTGCTACAAACTGTCGTTTCTCAGCGAGACAATGTTCGGCTACACACAACTACAGTTTTCCAGTTATGTGTCCTTCAAGCTTTTGGTCTGCCCATCGAGCATTTATGAGACCAAATGGAACGTCAGGGTCTACCATCTGGAGAGGCAGCCACAATTAATTAAACCTCATTAACTCGATTAATTTTCTAAATAAAGTAATTAAATTTTAAATAAATTATTTTCATTGGTTCGTAGTAAATATTTTTAAACAAAAATTATTTCTAATATACAATGAATAAATAAGTATTGAATATATTTATTTAATGTTTACATAATATATTTATATGACCTTCTGTAACACACAAGATTAAATAAATGTAAGCAATATATAATTTTCTAAGAGTTTTACTCTTTTATATAGAACAATAACCAAATATCACATATTTATATAAAACTCACCTCTCTAGGAAAGAATGGGGATTGTATTGAGAATGTACAGCCAATGGCAAAATTACCTAAACCTAAAATTATTAACAACAATGTCTTCTTTCGTTTTTCATTCATTATCTACAATATAAAAATAAAAAAATAAATATTATAAATNCGATATTAAGTTATATTAAAATGAAAGTTTCTCCTTTAGATATTAAGTTATATTAAAATGAAAGTTCCTCGTTTAGATATTAAGTTATATTAAAATGAAAGTTCCTTTATACTTTAATTCCTTATAAAATTATTCCAGCTAGTGAAATACATTTCCGTTTACACCTAGTAACTCTAATCGTATTTCCTGTGTACGTAAGTTCATCGATACAATGAAATTTTCATTGTATAAACAACTAACATAAGTACTGTACAGTACAACGAAATTTTTCCTAGTACCGTGCTATTATTTTCTTCTATATCTATAAATTGATAAATATTTTATCCGTTTCTTTTATTATTACTAATTTTTAGACATAATCTTGTATTGTTCAATATAGAAATGACTTAGAAGTATTTTAAAAATTCTATAGAATATATATTATAAAATATTTATATTTTATGTAAGACTATTTAATAAATACTTTTAAAATCAATTTTTCTAAGTTAATTTCAAACGGAAATTACGTAATTGGAATTAAGATAAATTTTATATGATAAATTGTAAATAATGAAATGTTTTATTGCATTAGTTATTTTATCTTGATATTTCTGAAAGGATGTCTAATTTTATTAAATTATTATTTTCATTATTTCATTGTTTTACAATTTTATTATCGAATTTTCCTAGAAACTAAATTACTCAATTCATTAATTATGCCAAAAAACATTACAATTTGTATTGGAATTAAATTATTTATTAATGATGATATATTATAATTATTTAAATTTATATTATCTATTATTTAATTTAACTTATAAATGAGTTGTAATTAATAGTTTAAATGTATTTAAGTCTGCCTAAATTGATTTTATTGAACAATAACATTCTTTTCTTTTCAATTTTAAGATAATGAAATATATCTTATAGGGACGCTCCTTTAATTTCTTATATTCTTGTAAACATGTTTACTTTTTACTTAAATTTATATCAAAAGCGATCATATTTATATCATATTGAGATATCTTCAGATTTAAGATATAGCGAGAAAATAGAACTTACAGTAAATGATCTAAAATTTTTTACTTATATCACTCAAAAAACAATTTCGATATAACTTAATTAAAGTGTGTACATTATATCTGTACATTGAAATGAAGTTGATATAAAAATTTTCATTTTTGGATGATTTTATATTAAGCTCTTATTAATTTCAGCTTTGTATCTGATTCAAGAACTCGAGAAACAAATAATTATGAATGATTCAAAAGAATTCGGATGGGAAAAATTCCAGTAATATTTTGGAAATGGACCATGTCCGTCAACCCCATTGTGAGCCTGGTCGAACACATAACGTGTTTTTTTTATTTAAAAAAAGACCCTCTTAGTGTTCTTAGGGTGGAAACTGCTTTAAAAAGTACTTGGGTACTCAAGTAACGTTCGTTAGAATAAATACTATCATTATTCATACGTAAAAAATAAATATTTTAATTCAAAACTAATGGAAATGCAATACATTATAAAGTGATCGTTTTAGTTATAAGTAGAAATCTAATAACTAGAAAATGTAATTAGAAAGGAAATATAAATATAAATGTTTGTTAAATAATTTTGAATTAAAATATCTCTTTAGATTTATAAATAAATAATTTATCGTATTTTAAAGACTTTTTCTAACTTACCATTGTGAACGATTTAGACTCCTTACAAATTAAAATATTTATAGATTTTTACATATTTTAATTCTGTACACAATAATTAAAATATGTTTAATTCTTAAAATCTATCAGAAAATTTTTCTCGAGAGGAAATATTGCAAAACGTCCTTCCATATTAGCTGGAAACAATGGAATGAGAAGTCAAATAAAAAAGAAAGTGTCCTTGTACTCGTATAAATAACAATGGAATTACTACATGCAGATGATGATATGCATATGATATGCAGATGATGCTGTATATGCAGCTTCACAGTATGCGAAACTATTTATTACTGAATTAAAAAAAAAAACACCATAGAAGATGAATATTAAATCTAAAATTAAAAGATATTTCGAAAATGAGAATGTTTTTCTTTTGAAATAATGTTATTGTACACGAATTCCTAATCGTTCTTCGAGTATTTTATTACTATAATTAGATTGTCGTATTTTAACAATCACTGTACTAAAACGAAAAAGACAATTATTTTAAATAATATCCAATACGATAATGCTTAAATAAATTTATAAAAAGTGAAAAATTGAGCTTAAAATTAACAACAAATTGAATTTTTCTCTTATATTTAGAGCTTAAATGTCTTAATCTAAGTATTAAAAATGATATAAATAGTTATGAAATCATTTAAGTTATGTTATCACTTATATAATTTATATAATGTTATGTAGTGCCTAGATTTTAACATAATCGTAATAAGTGAGTTTAACTTTCATTTTAAATCAGAATTTAGAAATATCATTTTAGAATTAAAACAATTCTGTTTCATATTAGCAATTTGTTTCTTTTCCGAAAACTTTTGTAAGAAAGTACAAAGACTATAGCGATAATAATACAAAAATAAGATTATTTATGCAAACATCCTTTCCTCAAGAGCTTAAATTCTCTTTCATTTTTACTTTATTTTTATCAGTTTATAAAATAATAGTCATCGTTATTAAATTACTATTAGAGAATACAGTTTATTATATAAATGCTTATCATGACAGATCGTATTAATACTATTAGAGAACTTTTATGAATTTCTTTAAGTATTCACAGAAATTCCTGCAAGTTTATAAAATATATAAAATATATAATGTTCAACATCAATTGGAAAATAAACGAGTGAAAAGTACCGAGGAGTAGCCATTAAATATATTTAATATGATTCAGTGATTATAAACGTTGTGGTCAATATCCAATGTGTTTCTGAATTCGTAAATTTTTTATGATTTAAGTGATAGAACACTGTTTTATTGTAACAAAAATCATTTTTCAGAAAATATTTATCAAATTTATAAAAGAAAAGTAACGTTTTTGATGTTCTTTTCTCTAAATAAACGACCATAAACTTTATATGTACAGTATGGTACATTATTAATCGATCTAGCCTTTACGTTGAATCTCTATGATACCTTTTGATGAATCAGCAAAATAAAAATTAATTTCATTTATAACTATACATTTGAAAACTAATAAGGTTTTTTATATTTTAGATAATATTCATGTTTGATTTCGTGATTACATAAGTAAATTGGTAGAATCACATGTTTGGCGCGTTATCGAAAATTGGATATTCTTATCAGNGGTGAGCGAGATCGTGACGAGGTGTCGGTCATAGTCAAGGATAACACATAATTATATATATAAGAATAACATATTTAATTATCGAATGCTATACAAACGAGTACAAATCAAAAGGCTACAAAAAGGGAATAATTCAAAAATACTTCTAAGTCGTCTAATAATCTAACTCTATAAGACATAATATTGTCTAAGTTCAAGCTATGATCGAGAGAGCGAGACGAGAAACGAAAAGGAGAGAGAGAGGATCACAATTTGGTTGTGTTTACCTCACGGGTTCTCTTTGATGTTAATCAGTTATAAAAATTTTTAATGTAATAACAAGTCTTATCATCATTAAAATTTTTTATCAATACGTTAGAACAAACGCATTAATTAGGCTACATAGGATATAAATACTGTAATATTCAGAGCAAACGAAGATCAGTAAAATAATTAACAAATTAGCCTATATTATATACAAAATAAATACATTTCTTTAAAAAATTCACAAGAAATTAATAGAAGAAAATACAGGGTTTCTTTTATTTCCTTACTCCTTTTCACAATTTAGGAACAGTTTTATGGAAGAGTCGACTTTTATTGTAGGCTTTTATCCACCTTAATATGTAAAATATATTGAGGCAGATATTGTATATATGTAAAACATTTTACTAGTCGATATATATATATATATATTAAAACAAAAATTTTCGGTCATCGCCAACCGAAATCGAAGATAACATTCTACACAAAGTACAGTATTAAAAATACAGACTCAACTCGCCCTCTTCATGCCTTCATGAAATATATTCAAATCTATCAAGACCGATAACAAGTAATTTATCCACACTTTTCCAAATATTATGTTTATAATAAAAGTAAAATAAAATAAAAATCTATAGACTATACTGTATTTGTTCTGTAAATAAGTTATATTTAATATATAAGTTATATAACTTAGGTTTACAGAACATATTTATTTATTTATATTTAATATTTCACATTATATATTTATTTATTTATCTGTATATACGGTATATTAAAAGCAAAATTTACAATTGATTTGAGTTTAATTTTAATTAGTTAATTTTTATTTCTCTCTCTCTCTCTCTCTCTCTTTTGTATCGGGGTTAATATGGAAGTTATTGCGTAGTCGCTTATCCTCTAAAGAGCCGGCCGAAGCTTTCTTGCTTGACCATACGAAATTACTCCTGAATAACCTGGTGAAATGCCGTCCGGGAGGTCTTTTAAGGGTAACTGCCCTCTATTTAGGCGTTAGAGACGTAGAGCCAGGAAAACTTAATTTTTAGTTTTCATTGTAGTTTT